TGCCCCCGGACCCGATGACGCTGCTGCCGAACCCGAGGCCGATGCCGTTGAACCCGATGACGCCACCGAGGCCGATGCTGCTGAACCCGATGACGCTGCCGCTGAGCCCGACGCCGTCGCGCGCGCTCCTCGCAGTGGCGGCGCCCTCGGCGTCCTCGCAGTGGCGCGCTCCTCCTTCTGCCGCGACGACAATGGCCTCCGCTTTGACGCAGGGGCCATAATCCGTTTTGCCACAGGAGCCACACGACGTGGGCGCAGGAGTATCTTGGGAATTGGAACTGGAGGCATCATCTTGGGCGCAGGAGCCGGAGGCATCATCCTGAGCGCCTTCCTATCGCCATCGTCATCATCTTGTGGAGGTGATTCCCTTCGAGTCATACGCAAGAACAGCGCGGGCCTTCCGCGCGGGGCCGGCCGCCAGCAGTCCGCGCATGTGGACCTGAACCACAATGCCCAGAATGGTTACAGATTGCAGCAGACACGCCTACGAAACTGTCGCCGCTTTCGTTGGCCCCTGGGGGGTGGGTGGGCTGTGGACCTCGTAGGCTTTGTCGTCGTCGTCGTCGTCGTTGTCGTCGTCGTCGTCGTCGGCGTCGTCGTCGTCACCGCCGCCGTCGTCGTCGTCGTTGTCGTCGTGGTCTGCGTCGTCGTCGTCGTCGTCGTCGTCTTTGTCATCGTCGTCGTCGTCGTCGTCGTCGTCGTCGACGTCGTCAGCGTCGTCGTCGCCGACGTCGTCATCGCCCGCGTGGCCCCCAGGAGGAGCGTGGACTAGCGTCGGCCGCTTTATCCCGCTTACTTCCACTTCATCTGGTTGACGTATTCCAGCGCGCTCTGCCCTAATAGCCCTTTGATAGGCCTCGTGTTCTTTGATCCCTCGGACTTCTTTGTGCCCTTGCCGACCATGACGACGACGACGACGACGACGACGACGACGACGACGACGATTGAGACGGAACGTTTTCGATTGTCGTCGGCTTCTTTGGGCCCTATCTGGCTTGGCACGAGTGGCCAGACCCAGGGAAAGGGGTCGAGACCTCCACCAGGGGTTGGTTGTGCCCCATCTGCCCCTTCCCCCCCCCCCCCCTCCTCCTCCCCTTTCAGCGGCGGCTGGCCCTCTCCTCCCCCGCCGCAGCCATTTTGGCCAGCCAGGCGCAAACAAAGTTGGCGCGCGTGAGCTGTGGCGTGGTATGTCAGGCGCGGAGGGCAGCCAGGGCCCGACCCCGGGCGGCCAGAATAACGTCGCGCCAGTGCCTGAGGGGGACTTCGCCAAACGGCTGAGCACAGACGATGGGGAGGATGATATTTCGACAGCGCCAGGTGGTTACACTGGCCACCAATCATTGGACTCTATGATGGAGGTTGGTGGCGGCCCCAGTGGCATGGCCAAGAGGCTCCACGCAGCGCTTGCGCGGGAGAGCCTGGTACATGGTGGCCCAAACAAGTACCTTAACAAGAAATACAGTACACCAGAGAAAAAGTTGGAGTTTGCTCAGGCGTTGGTAAAGCTACTGCCGCTCAGCTACCAGCACGTGCATAGCCTGAAGAAGGCGTTGCCCACTGTTAATGAAGGCGAGCTCAGCGAACAGAACGCGATGTTCATACACCCCGCAGCCCTTGCCTTCTCAGCGGACGCGACGTCACGCGACTTTGTGGATCATGCAAAAGTGGTCAAGCTAGCAGGAGAGATGTGCGCAGATGGTTGCGTTACATAAGGAGACGAGCTACTCTGCTTCCAAGGGCGTGAGCTCGCCGACGAGAAGCCGAAGATTCCCACGGAGTTTGTAGGGTGCCCACAAGAGGAAGTGACCAGTTACTTCAGCTTCGGATACATCAAGGGCTTCGCCCGTGCTACCACGTTGGTCATGCTGCTGGACCTCTTCATGACTGACTTCCCGGGAGATGATATCAAATCCATCCTGCCCCAGTTCGCCAATGCTAACGTTATTGCCATCAAGGTCCCTCCTCCTTCCTCCTCCTCCTTCCTCCTCCTCCTTCTCCTCCTCTTTGTCTTCTTTCTCCTTCTCCTTCTCCTCCTCCTCCTCCTCCTCCTCCTCTTTCTTATCCTCCTCCTTGCCCTCCTCCTCCTTGTCCTCCTCCTCCTCGTCTTCTTCCTCTTCCTCCTCCTCCCCCGTCCTCCTCGTCGTCGTCCTTCTCCTTCTCCTCCTTCTCCTCCTTCTCCTCCCCCCCCTCCTCGTCCTCGTCCTCCTCGTCCTCGTCCTCCTCCTCCTTCTCCCCTCTCCTCGTCCTCCTCCTCCTCCTCCTCCTTCTCCTCCTCCTCCTCCTCCTCCTCCTCCTTCTCCTTCTCCTCCTGCTCCTCATCCCACCCTGCTAGGTCCTGGCGCAGGGGGGCAGAGTCAACGCTGCGCAAATGAATTGCAAACGGTCGCAAAGAGGCGCGATCCGCCGCCCTTGGAACGCGATCACTTGGGCAGGTGTCATCCGGCGCTTGAAATCGCACGGCGCCGACGACGCCGCTTCCGTGATCAAGCGGTGGAACGACATGGCAGGCATGTCAACAGAGAACCGCATTCTTGGCGCGAAACGGACGGCCCTCCTCAACTTGCTCAACATAAGCGATAGCGCGCTCGACCTGATTACCTCGCTCGTCAGCGAGTTCACGTGGGAGGCGCGTCCGTTCACGGAGGAGTTCCTGGGCAGCACCAAGCTCAGGATCGGCGCCACCATTCGAACCCAGAATAAGGAGTGGATGGCCCGTTTCCGCGTGTCCAACGACTCGCTGGAACTGTTTTGCGCGTTCCTCCAGGCTCGCCACCGCAGGTCGATCTCTTCCGCTAGGAAGAAGATGGCGAAGGCTGAGCTGGAGGACTGGTTGCACATCGTCAGCATGGCCCATAACATGGCGCAAGAGATCACAGCGCAGGCCCCAGTGGCTGATGAGAAGATCCAGAAGGACAGAGGGGGGGGGGTCACATACATATGCCTGCTCCTCTTGCCCACCCCCTCCCTCCTTCTGTCCCCGCTCTTTCCTCCGTCCCCCTCCTGCCAGTGCCTATCCCCCCCATCCTCCTTCCCCCGCGTGCCCCTGCCCCCCTGTGCTCATCCTCCCAGCCATGCCCCCTCCTCCTCCCGCCTCTCCCCCTCTTCCTCCTTCTCCCCCAACTCCTCCTCTATGCAGCCAGGGCAGCGCCTGCCTGCGCCTCGCCGAACGTGACAGGCCCCCCTGCCACATGCGCCCCTTCCCCCTTGCCCCCCCCCCCCTCTCTGACTTACCCCGCCCTTGCGCAGCGGGCGCAGCGAACGAGAAACCAGCCAGAAACGCGAGGTAAGACACCGCCCTGGGACATCCTGGGCTTCCAGGGCTCGAGAGGCTAGATGGCTCTGGGGAGGCTGGAATCACGAGGGTGCCATCGGATATGGTGTCGCACATGATTCAAGTGGCTTGCGCCATTCCACTGACCCCCAGAGGAGTGAGAGCGTGCGACGATCGTGGAAGGTATCTACTGGCTTTCGGCCCATCCTGCCACTGCGCCTGGGCGGTGGGTCAGGCCTCCGGAATGCTCTTTGGGATTTCGTTATTGCGCATGTGTTTATTCCCTACCTAGGCTCTGCCTAGAGGGTTCTTACTCTCTATGCTTAAAGGGGCCGGGCAGTGTGGGTGGCCCTGGGCGGCGCCCCCAGGGTCCGCCCCGCGGTCCCCCCAGTTGCGCCCCCTGGGTACCGCCAGCTTGCTCTGTGCTTTGCTTTGTTTTGATTTGCTTTGCTTGTCTGATTTGCTTTGCTTATATGATTTGATGTGCCTTGCTCTGCTGTGGTTTGCGTTGCTTTGCTTTGCTTTGCTTATCTGCTTTACGTTGCTTTGCTTTGTTGCTTTGCTTTGCTGTGTTTGCTTTGCTTTGCTCTGCTTTGCTTTGCTTATCTGCCTTGCTCGACGCAGGAGGCGGGGGGGGCTTATACCGCGCCCAAAGTGGCACCGCCAGGCGCCAGCTAATGTTTTTGGGGTGGACGGCATTTCGGCGCTAGCGCTTCGGCGTCACAGAACCGTTTCGGCCCTGCGCCATCATGGCGCGCCAGTCGGGTGATCCGGCCCAGCCTTGGCCCCGCCTCACGGGGCGGCGGTTCGGGGGAGGAGGGGCCCAGGAGGTTTAATTAGCTTATAGCATAGCTTAGCTTAGCTTATCTCATCTTAGCGTAGCGTAGCGTAGTTTAGCTGCGCTTAGTTTAGATTAGCTTAGCTTAGTTTAGCGCAGCTTAGCTTAGCTCAGATTTGCTTAGCTTAGCCCAGATTTGCTTAGATTAGCTCAGCCTAGAATTGCCAGGCTTAACTTAGCTCAGATTTGCTTAGCTCAGATTTGCGCAGCATTAGCATAGCATAGCATATTTTACCTTAAGGATGTGTCAGGGGCTGTGCTTTAGGGATGTTTCAGGGGCCGTGCATCAGGGATGTTTGGGGTGCTGTGTTTTACCTCAGGGATGTTGCGTGGGGTCGTGCTTTAGGGATGTTTCAGGGGGCCATGCTTTAGGGATGGTTTCAGGGGCTTTGTGTTACCATAGGGGTGTTTCAGGGGCAGTGCTATAGGGAAGTTTCAGGGGCCGTGCTATAGGGATGTTTTACGGGCTGTGTTTTACCTTAGGGATGTTTCAAGGGCCGTGCTTTAGGGATGGTTCAGGGGCCGTGCTTTAGGGATGTTTTAGGGGCTGTGTTTTACGTGAGGGATGTTTCAGGGGCTGTGCTTAGCTTAGCTTAGCTTAGCTACCTTAGCTTATAGCATAGCTTAGCTTAGCTTAGCTTATGCTGCTTCCCTGGGGGCTCCAACTCTTATTTAGGGTCGCACTGGGAAAATTGCGCCCCCTGCCCCCAGGAGTACATCGACCTCGTGAGGGCCGACGACTCGGCTTTGATGCTCGAGCTCCAGATGGCCTACCAAGAGAAGAACGATAATTTCAAGATCACTGACAGCACTGCCATCAAAACTTGAATGCAGAGCCACATGCAGGCGACCGAGGGGGGCGACGGGACGTTCCCAGCCACCGTTGGGGCCATGGAGCTTGAGCAAGCAGCCCTGGATAAGCAGCATTACGACCTCGATATGAACCTGATCCAGTCTGACGCCAAAAAGTTCTGGGTATATCGCCAAAAGAATCAAGACCGACAGAAAGCAGAGTATTTCCACAAACTCGAGTGGCAGCAGAGCGTGGTGCAGGCTGGCAAAAAGTTCGGAATCAAATTCATCAAGGACCACTGCTTGTTCGCAACAGTCAAAGAGGGGGCCCTGGCGATCTTCACGAGGATCCAGGAGTTTCAGACCCGCGCCGAAAACGAGCTGTACTTGATCAAGGGCGCCAGCAGGGTTCCACCCTCCTCCTTTTCCTCCTGATCCTTTTCTTTTTCTTCTAGAACCTCCCCCCTGTGATCCTTCGTCCTCCTACCTCTTTCTCCTTCTCCTCGTCCTCCCTTCTCCTTCTAGCCCTCCTCCTTATCCTCTTCCCTCTTCCTGTCCCGTCCCCGTGAGTCGTCGCGTTCTGCCTCGCCCTCGCTATCCTCCCCTCCCCGCATCTTCCCTTCCACTGCCTGCTAGGTTCACGCTGGCTACGTGAACTGGGTCGCCCCATCGACAGTGACAGCAGAGTGCCAGCGTCAGCAGCTCAGCCTGATGAAAATGCTCCTCAATCCGAACAGCGCGTGCCTAGTCCAGATGCCGGTTTATACGTGGAAGAAGGGCATGCTGTACCTTTCTGAGGTCAACTGCCTCAAAATGATCGGGGACCGGGGCTTCTATTTCGACAGGAAATGCAAAACGCTTCGCGTGCCCCTGTCAGCCAGGAGGCGGAGGAGGGATAAGCGTGGAGGGGCAATGACGGAAATGGCGCGGGCCTGAACAGGAGAGAGGAGGAGGAAGAGGAGGAGAAGGCAGAGGAGGAGGATGAGGAGGAGGAGGAGAGGAGGATGAGGGATGCGAAGAGGAGGGGGCGGTGATGCAGAAGGAGTAGGTGGTGGTGGGCGTCTGGCTCAGACGTCTGGCACAGCGCTGAGGGCCCTGGAGCCCCTGGGAGCCATCTTGGGCAATTTAAGGCATGCTCCTCCTCCTGGGACTTTTTCGGGCCCCTCGCGATGGCTCGGCCCAGCTCTTGGGAGGGATTGTTGAAGATGGGGGGGGGTGGGGGGGGGGGGGGGGGGGGGGGGGGGGTCAGGGTAAACCTTGCGCCCCAGTTGCATACAAGGCTGGGGGGTGGATTTGTGTTGCGATTCGTTTCTAAGACCAATGCTGCAGATGGCCGCCCATTGACCTACGAGGGGCGCTGCGCGTTCGCTTCTGGGGTAAGGTTGAGCCAGTCTCCCTGGAAACACGCACCACTGATATCCAATGGCTTCAACGAGCCCCCGGCTCAAATGCTGAGGCCAACAGATATGATCAGCATTGAGGACATGGGCGACGACGCTGTGCCAAAGACGGGGGACAGCGGCGGGAACCACTGCGCTGTCGGCGACGGGCAAAGGTCAGCAGGGGGTACAAACACTGATTACGAGGAGACTGGGGAGGGGAACGAGGACGAAGGAGGCAACGTTGGAGGGGGGAGGAGAAGGGCGAGACAGACGGAGAGGAAGGTGCTGAATATCGAAAGGCTGAGGGGGCAGAGGGGAACAGGGAGGCGTTCAGGCGAGAAGCTCTCGTGGGCTTGCTCGAAGGGGCCTTCGCAGCCATGCCGGGGCCCTCCTCGCACTGTCAAGGCTGCCTGTTGGGCTCCCGAGGGGCCCTTCTCCCTGGGCAGGCACTGCTGGCCATAATCGTCGCTATGGAGGCGCCGGCAGTCACGCTGGGGACTCGTTTTCAGACGCTTTCGCGCTTTAATTTTCAACGTTTTTTTGAGGATGTTGTCGTTGCCGCTTTTGTACAGATATGGGCAAGTGCGCGGTTGTCCTTTCTCTTGCTTCGTGGCGGTGGCTGTTTGCGACGGGCCCGCCGCCTTCTGTCGCGTGGGCCGAGCGCCGTCCTTTCGGTCGGTGCGCAGCGTGCGCGATGCGAATGTGTGGCGAGCGGACGTAAAGGGTCGCCCTTCGAGACTCCTGCCTCCTCCATTTCTCCTCCCTGACTATTCTTCTCGTTGGCCCATTCCGCCTATCAGCTTGGTTCCTCCTCCCATGGGCACTCCTGGCTCCTTCTCTCCTGCGTCCCCCTGCTCTCCCTTATCCTGGCTGTTGCCCCTCCCCCTGTTTCCCGAATCGTTTCCCCCTGGCGGCCTGCCTCTACTCTCTTCCTCCTGTCCGGGTTCTCTTCCGCTTCTCCGAGCCCCCGCCCAGTGCCCCCCTCCCCTTCTGGTCGTTCCGCGCCCCTCCTGCCCCCCCCCCCCCCCCCCCCCTCCACACTCTTCACTCCATGCTTTCGCCTCCCTCGCCTTTCCCTCCCCCTGTCCTCTCGCCTTTCCTCTCCTCTCCTCCCTCTGCCCGTTCCTCCCTCCTTTCCCGTCCCCTCGTCGCCCCTCCCTTCGTTCCCCTTCGCCCGGCCCTCTCCCTCTCGCTGTCCCTCTTCCGCCTCTCCCTCCAAGCTTGCCCCCTCCTGCCTCCTCTCCTGCCCTCCCTCGTCTCCAAATGCTGCCTGGACGCCCTGGGGGCCTGCTCCAGCGGTTCTCCTCGCAGTGCACATTGGCCTGGCGGCGCGATGTCGGGCGCCAACACAGCCTGCCAAATCGGGCGGCGCTGGGAGTCACCAAGTGGTGCACACTGGGCCCCCCCAAGGTGGTGCACAGTGGCGCTTTCGCTGTGACTTATCGCATGAAAATTCCCAGTGCGCACCAGTTGGGCCCGGAACCGCCTCCGCAGTGTGCACCGCCAGTGTGCGCCATCCCTTGCGTGCGCCACCAGGCCTTCGCAGTGCGCCACCTGGCCTTCCCAGCGTGCACCTCCCCAGTGTGCGCCACCAGCGTGCACTTCCCCAGTGTGCACCACCTGGCCTTCCCAGTGTGCACCATCCCCTGTGTGCACCACTCGGCCTCTCTCCGGCCTTTGCCGCATCCATGAAGGGTCGAGCGATTGTGGATCGAAACCAGGCTGTGCTCACGCCTCCCCGCCCAGCCCCGCGCGTAGCCATGCTGGCGACGCCCGCGAAACAGGCGGCCGCCCCGGCCAGCACAGCGCCGGACAAACCCAGCCTGCTGGACCTCGCCGAGGCGCGCGCAGGCTATGATCCCGCAGCGGGGCGGCGTGGGCGTTGATTCCGCGCGCCCCTGCGGGAATGAGAACTGCGAGGTGCTTGATGGCGCAGGAGGGCGCCTGTGCAACCTGCAGAAAACACATGTTGCCCCGAAGAGATTGCACATGCGCTTTATTTACGGGCAGGAAGCCCGACGCTGCGGGGCACCGCCTCGACTTCAGCTACAAAGCGTGTGCCGTGGTAGCGTTTTGTTTGATTTGCGCGCTCGGGTGCGGGAGTCAGAAGCGTGTGGCCTTTGTGGCAGGGGGTGCGTCGCCGCCATCGAAAGGACTCGCGCGCGTGGTCCTGCGAGGACCTCTCGCCGCCTTGGACCGCAAGGTGTTTCGCGCCAGCCCCAGCGGGCATCTCCGAGCAGCGCAAGTAATTGTTGTTCGCGCCGTTATTTGGGCTTCGCCCGCCATCTCCGAGGCTTATAATGCGATTGTGAGTTGGTCGTGCATCTGACCCCCCTCGGAAAAAATGGGGTGATTTGTTAAAAATCCGAATCGACTGCCGATGTGGCGGTGACGAATGATCGAAAGGGGGCCCAGCCATGGCCACGAGAGCGGCGTCCTAGGAGGCGCAAACCTAACATGTGAACACTCTTCGATCCTCCTCGCTCGTCCTTCGACCGAAGACGACGACGACCACCCCCTCCCTCTGGGCCACCCTCCGGCGGCGCCCCTCGCACCTCCTCGTCGCCCGCTCAGGCGCAGCCAGCTCGGGAAGGACGCGTTCCGCAGCATCATGGTGAACCTGCTGACAGGATTCAACAATACACATGCGGGGCCAGGCCAGAGCACTCTACTCACGATAATCGATTTTGGCGCTGATGTAGGCCACATGATGGAAGCTTTCCTGGACATACTCCCCCAATTTCACGTGCCACTCGCGCTTGTTCTCCTGTGTGACGAAGAGTCTCAGAAGGAGTGGCCGGAGCACAAGGCGGTGACGCTTGCGGGCGAGAAATGGTTGAAGGGGACCCTGAAGGACAAGCAGGTCCCACCTTCCAAGGACTACAGGAGTGGGAGAATGAGTGCGAGGATGATGACAAGGTTATCTAGGACCCCCCCCCCCCCCCCCCCCAATATAGCGCGGTCGGAAGCCTCCTCTTGGATAGGTTTCCTGTTGAGGATATTGCATGCCATCTTGGGGCGCCTCAGGGTCGTCTGCTTTCTGGTCTCTAGAACCATCCCACATTGATCTCACTGAGGGTCCTAGGGTCTTCGTAGGGCTCACAGACGCAAGCTTTACCCCCCTCCTCCCCCCAAAAAAATGCCTCGCCCGATTGCGCGTGTCCTGTGCAGGGCTGGGGGTGCAAGCGACGTTTGAAGCGAGTACTGGGTAGTTCGAGAGGACAAGGGTAAGCAAGCCTCCCCACAGTGGGCTTTCAGAAAGCTCTGGAAATGAGGGGAGATGAGGGAGGGGGGACAGGGCGATGTGAGATGGCCCCGGTAGATGGCCTGGGGGTGGGAATGGTGGTGACGACGACCACGACGCCAGCAGTGACGACGACGCCGACGACAATGATAATGAATGGCGACAGTTGCAGCGACGATGGAGCTGTCCTCAGCATCGCATTGTTCTCAGGGAATGGCATCGGAAATGCCCCCCTCCTCTTTGGGATCGCTCGCACCTTCGGGCGCTCCCCCCAGGGACAGCGCAACCAGCCAATATAAGAGCGCGTGGGTGGGTGGCACTTGCGCTCTGTCTGCCCCTGCCCTTGCGCTGGCCAGGAAGTTCCAACCCACGTGGCCGCGCAGCCGCTGCAGAGGCCCCCGCTGAGCATCATGGTGTGGGGCCCCCTTGAGAATGGCACAGAGACCCTCAAGATGCCACAAACCACGCTTGCCAAATTGTACGCGCACGAGAAGCATGGGGAGGAGTTCCAGGCGACGTACCACAAGCTGGAGGTTGAGTTCGGGGACCTCACTGTGGGAAAGACCACGACTGGTGGCGCCAAGAGGGGCGGCGTCGCCCCCCCCTCCGGCCCCTCGCCCCACAAGAAGCCCAAGATAGACATCCAGCTCGTGATAGTCGACAATGACGCCATGATGGGCGAGCTTCTGGCGGAATGCGAGATGCCGACCCTCCGGGGGTCTGCGAAGTTGGTGTTCCGCACAGCAGGGCACGTCTACATCGCCAACAGTGGCGACGCTGACCTAGAGATCTTGGAGAACACTGAGCTGGCCAGCTTCAGCCCCAAGAACACGAAGTTCGACAAGGGCGAAATCAACGACAAGAAGAAAGACTTCAGCTTGGCATTCGAGCTGTCAGACGCGGACACCTACGTGAAGGTAGAAGGCGAAGGCACGAAGACGCTGTACGAAACTATCGAGGCAAAACGATCCTCAAAACCAGACCAGGCGAAAATGCGCTTCCTTAACATGACGGAGAAACCAACAGACGAGAGGCCTGGCTACTTCACCTTGCAGCCAGTCACTGACGCGACGAAGCGAATCTTCCTCCTCACCCCGCAGAAGGTCAACATCGCAACCAAGAAGGCGCAGCAGCAGGACAAGGACAAGCAGAAGGACGACGTGATCGAGTTCTCGCAGAAGACCGCGGACCCGAGGGATTGCAAACAGCAGTGTTGCCT